AAAAAAAGAAAACAACCAATTACATTAAGAAATTTAAGGTTAAAAAAGCAACAAATCTAAATATTAGTTAAAAACGGAACCTAAAAGAAATCAAATATTTTATAAAATGCTTTTATTCGGTTATTTTAAATGAAATGATATATTAGTATTTGTTTATAAGTTAAGTACAAATTATGTGAAGTATTACGATTATAAATTGAACCGAAATCACGTAAAATATTTTCATGTAATTCCTCTTTAACCTCATACGTTTATGTCTCCGTAAAATTATAAGATAATTATAAAACGTTGAGATTACTTCATTACTTCAACATTTTCAATATATATTTTTTCTTGACGAAACTACCTATCCTATACATTGTTTATATGACAATGTTCAATAATTATCAAATTAATCTTTCTTATTTAAAACTATATTCTTCTATTGTTGTTACACCAAATAACAAACGGATATGATAATTTAAAAAGTCATTTCAAATGGATCAACAAGATAAATTGCAAAAATTCTTGACAAATTTTTTATATATATGAAGCAAATAATTGATTAATTATACCATGTAGGAAGAAGCAAAATTCTGTATATACTATTCTTAGAAATTTTAAAACTAATCACTTTTCCCTTTTAATAGATTTACAGTTTTATACTAACATCAATCACCAGCTATTCCCATCTCTAACATTGTGGAACTGAAATTGGTACCATAAGAAGTAGGAAGAAAATTTAGTTCCTCAAATATTCAACACAACAATCACTGCCATCATCCTTCACACTTATTTCGAAATTGGCTCAAAAAAGACTGTCCATTAAAATCTCTCAAACTGAAAACTGAAAATTTCAACTGAAACGTTACGTGAATAAATCTCTTTTCAAAGCGCACAACTTGAAAATTTTCAAACTCTAACAAATCTTATCTCTTTTATCTGACAATGTCCAGTTAACTTTTGTTTCCATATTCCTACCGATGGGTTCAATAAACAAGTTCCAAAATGAAGTCAATATGTGCGACAAAATTCTCTCATCTCGCATTCAAATATCACTTTTAATTGTAAAAAATTATTCACAAATTCCAAATACAGCAATATAGAAAACATAGAAATATCCAAAAATAATAGTAGCATAAAAATAATAATAATAGCATAAAAAATAATAATAGCCAATAAAAAACAAATCATCTGAAAATATAAATATTAAAAACTTACAAAAAGAATTACCAATTTTGAGTAAGAAATGGGTATGAAAAATAACTAATGTACACATATTAAAAACTTTCACGCGTCCTCATTACATATACAGTTGAACTAATTAGATAGATGACAGTAGAAAACAAAGTAAAAAAAAAGATAAAGATAACTACATTTGTCAAGTACAACATCGTATTGGGATTAGTTTTGTCATTTCTTCTTCCACAATTGGCAAGTAGTCATAAATAACATCTGGATCCAAGACATTGCTTCGTACCTAAATGTTGAATAATTAAAATGGAACAGCAAAACTCAACGAAGAAAACACCAAAAGAGAAAATGAATTACGGATAATTTAGTCATAAATTAATCTCATTCTCTCAGCACATACCTCTCTAAAACAGTTCTTGCTTCTTTTTAAAATGTAATCAAAAAGAAAAAAAAGATGTCAACAGAAAAAAAGCTCCTTAGTTTTTAAAATTTCGACTTTTTTCGAAATTGTTTCATTTGAAAAAAAAATACCAGCGGTGATGAATTGGCCAATTTCAGTTCACGACGTGTCCACTGTCTCAAAAATGTGTCTGAATCAAGCTCCTTATAAAGTCTCGTGTCACAAATGCGAACCAAAACACCATCGATTCGAAGATAAAAACGACAGAGAAGAAATAAACAGGTTGGCATGGCCCGCAAACGTATGCTCATCTGAAAGGTACAATATCATTTGTTTAAAACAATTAATAAATGGGAAACAAGACTTGTTCAGAACATGAAATTAATAAATGGCGAACAGAAATGCATTTCTGTTGATTCTTCAGATGATGCTGAAAATTCCGGCTAAAATCTTAAACAGAATATACTACTAATAATTTATATTCTCCATTATTTTAAAAACTATATTCTCCATTATTTTAAAGAGCAGAATTAAACAAAGATATATTTTCACTCTCCAGAAAAAAATAAAATTTTAGTTGGCGTACCTCGGAAGATCCGTGATCAGCTAATTCATCTTCATAAAGTGTCAGTTGTGAATAAAAACTAATCGGATCACGACGTTTCAGTGTTTCTATTGAAATCGTTTCCTTAGTTGATGCCACCTAAAACGAATTAGTGAGTACTTTTCACTTATTAAAACATCACTGGATTCCTTAAATTGACCTAAAAAATATGTTGGGAATTTTTTTGATCATTCGAGATGAAAAGTAGAAAAGTGATCGATTATAAGAATAAATGGGAAAATACCGTGTATCCTTCCACAGTTCCTTTGTAATTACTTGTGTAGGTCCAATCGAACGGTTGGCTGCTTCCTCGTAAACGATTCACATCACTTCTCGATCGCTGCCATTTCTTGCTCGGTCCAACCTTTTAATGGTAAGTTAGTTACACATCGTAAATTGGAAATTGTATTTTACATTAATTGTATTTTCAATACCTGTGATGTATATGCTCAGAATGTTAATTTTAATCTCTCCATTCATAACATCATCAGGTGGATAAAACAGAATGATTTGACAGTTAATAGCTTAGTCCAAATTCAAGAGAATCGTACGCGACACCATTTTGGATACACAGGACCAAGAGGAAAAGCAGTAAAGTAAGGTGAAATCTAATGGATGTGTAAATTCAAAAAGAAAATCAATATATCACAAATTACTTCACCTCCACGTCAGGATATGAAGTGACGTCAACGGATTTTAAGGCATCTAAGGCATTGAAACTGATTCGTATTTCTGGCTCATCCGGATATGTAATAACCACCGAATTATTCGGAAATATCATATCCGGTAAATGCGGTAGTTTTAACATATGAGTGTATTCGCAAACCTAAACTAAGAAAACGTCATTTTTTCTTTTTCGACGTTCGTCTATAAATGGCAATCAAAATAATACAACCTGACATTGTCCCCAGTAGTTATTCATTGTTTCCGGATGGTGGCACTGTGATGAAAGGATATGATCACGAGTAACAGCCACAGATATATCACCGAAAACGAATTCTTCCTGCAGTCAAATCATTCTTAGAACTTTATCCGCCGGACATCATCCGATTATCCGAGTGCACTTTTTTTTTCCCCCTCATATATTAAAACAAACCTTAACAACAGTGTTTTCCAATGCTTTGAGTAATTTATCAGCCACATTTGACCCACCACGTAAACGAATTCGTTGTCCATGCTTGATATCCATAATGCGAGTAATTGGGTAAAGTGTTAGATTCTACTGTAATGATCATATCTTAACAATTCAAAACAGGGATTTAACGTGCCCATTTACATATGAATTTAAATCATTCAAAACCCATATTACAAGTGCAAATTCACTACCCATTTTTGAAACTATATTGCAAGGTTGCACGAAAGTATTATATAATACACATGAGTCATTTAGTCCATAATTTTTTTCATGAGTCCATAATTTCGTAACTACTCAGATGGATTACCGTGATTCAAAAAATGTGATACGAGTGATGAACATTGAGATAACGCTCCTAATTCGGACTGCTTATTTCAGCATTGGATAATAAATATTCGAGGAGAACTTAATGATAAAATGTGATGATTGTAAAGGTGTAAATGTGAAGAGATGATTGTGCACTGGCAAGTAGCAGCTAATTGTAGAGGTATTTTAGATAATTTTTGTATTGTAACGATTGCTTTATTTATTTTTGTTTTCAGATTCTCATGTGCACATAGTGAAGTGGAAACTTTTTTCATCAAACAATCATTATCATGATCATCAAGCAAAAGAAGTGCTGGCTATGCGCATAAATGATGAGTAAGAAAGTATAACTGAGGCATTCCTCTCACGAAAGCATATGCATTGAATATAATCGATATATTTTTGAAGAAATAGCAATATCACCAATTATGGCAATTTGAGCTCAGTACAAAGAATGAGAAAGTATATCTGAGGCATGAAAAAGTATAACTGAGGCAAAAAAGACTCGATGATGATGAATGCATTTTCCCTATTTCTCACAATTTTCTGAACCCCATATCTGTTTCCTAAATATATCACTTCTTTTATTGCCTACATCCATCGATCATATTTCCTCCATTTCCTAGATAATATTTAAATTAAGGTGGACAAAAGAAAATATATAGATAGGAAGAATTTGTTGCAGGTGAACGAACTGGGTAAAACTACATGGAAATAGAAAAGTGATAAGTGCCTCCCCCCCTCTACCTCCACGCCAAATATCATTTCCACTGACTAGGAATCTCTTTTTTCAGGAATTTATTCAATTCGGGATATTTCTCAGGATCGAATTTCTCATCTTTCGCCACTCGCTGTCGTACCAAATCATCAAACTCATTCTGCAGCACATTTGTTTCTTCAGCCGGCGTGGGAATCTAAAATGTTCAGAGTATATCGGTAGCACTTCTATTCACTCATGTACGCCAACCGTTTTACATAAATTCTGAATCCGAAATCCGGCATCTCAGTATGATTTTGAATGAAGTTCTGTTTGATATCTAAAGCCGTGATTTGACTTCTATTAGAAAATTTAACTAATTTGAAAAAAAACCGACGTACATTTCCAGATGTAAAACCAGAACTGGACACAGCTTCTTCCAAAGATCTTTTGACGGCAGGAGACACCACACCATCGGAACAGCCTTCTGCAGTCACCTTCATTCCCTTTAAAAAAAATACAATGACTTTCCTTGACTAAAACGGATGTAATGTTTACATGGCTAATACTCTGGCTAGTTTTTCAGAAACGAGCTAACAATTTTGGTTAGTTTCTGACAAGGTCATGCATGCAGTTGGGAAATATTAGATTCTAAGTAAAAATCCTTGTATGAGACCATAAAGCTGAATCAGCTGCTGCTTTGTGCGTAGTAGTCTCAGTAATATCGAGAATAAGCCAAAGGGTCCTGTATATATTAAGAGAAAAAAACTGGATGATCCTGATAAACAAAAACATAACTACTGCTTGTAATATAATGCACCTTTCTCTTTGTTGAACAGCCACCTAAATAAGCATCGCTAAATGATTTTACATTTCTAGGTACCGAACGATTTTTATCATCCTGAATTACTGGTATCCAATCCTAAAAATATCGACATTCATTTTCCTTTTAATAAAAAAAAATGCGCAATCCAACACTTCTACTACAAGTCTGCATTCAACAGAAATTAATCGTACAAATAAATTTCATCTGACGTATCGGATAATAAAGAGTTTCCAACAGTAATTTATGAACAAAGAGCAAAGTTTGTTCATAAAAAAAAAAAAAAATTTTCTTTATTCTAGAGATTACCGTACAATCCTGCTGCAAATCAAGCCTTTTCAACAACTTGGAGCTTAAATTTCCTTAGCTCCATGACTATGTCCACTATGAAAAAGGATATCGTTCTTAGTCCAAGTACTTCAATAACAGATCGTAAGTAGATGCTTTAAGCTTGAAAAGTCTTCAATCCATGATTCCAGACTCATTATTATTCAAAAATAAAAAAGATAAACCTTTGGTAAAATAGACATCCAAGTACCACCTGCCACACTATCCTGCGCGTCTTGCATCTCTATGTCATTCAGTTTTTTACCTTTACCATCTTTTTCTTCTTTAACCGACTAAAATGATGATGTTATACAGCCTAAAAAATTATTTAGGCAGAAGATGCTTAAATTCCTATTATTTAAAAATTTGCTAAACTAGCCTCATCACATTTAGAAGCGGAATCCGACGACACACATCCGGTTTCACTGTTTGCAACAGAACTGCTCGATTCAACGGGTTGATCATCTGAGTTTTTGCATATTAATTTCAATTCTTCAAATATTATTCTTATTATACAAATCTAACCCTTAAAGGAATTGAGTTAAACATCCTACCAAGAATTTGAAGTATTAGTAATTGGGAATGTCGAAATACGATGGGTATACTTTCAAAAGCTTCAAGTTAGATCACTTGCTCCACCAATAAATCAATCCAAATTTCGAATGTCTAACTAGCGGACTGATGGAATGAAAAGTTGTGTTAGTTAATACCCACGTATTTGTTTCATGACATTAATGTGCAACCGTATTTATCACGTAGTGAGTTTCAGCCATGATCCGAAAACTCCCAGTGTACAATGCACTAAAAAAAAAATGGTGAAGAAGTACCTTCATTTGCAAGAACAATATCTTCCATCATGTCATGAACGGTGAAAGGAGTTTCGCGACGCAACAAAAGCCTTATGTGAGACATACTCACTTGTGCCATTGAAACTGATAGGTGGTGCTCGGAGATTCTTGTAGGTCTTTCCTAAATTATTTTGAAACTACGAACGAAATGAAGCAATAATGAAAACGGAATTTGCACGATCTGATAGTTTTGAATGATAATAACACTGAAGTAGAAATAATTTAAAATTTAAAGAAATAACCATGAAACGAAGCAGAAGGCTCTCATAGTCGTATGGTTGGCCCTTCATTGACAAGTTTGTCAAAAGAACAGCTCGATAAACATATGCTGTGAACATATCGACAATGGTTTTCGAATATTCTTCCGGCGTTAGATCTAATGATAAATTATTAACTTGTAAACGAAACAATGCTTCACAATTTCAACAAGGGTAATTCGCTAAGGTGGAAAGAAGTCATTAGATACAAAATAGTAAGCCAACAATTACCATCATCGGTACGCATCAAATGACGCAAGAATTCTTCCACAATCCGCTTTTCCAAGCGCAATAAACTAGCAACTAGATCTATTCGACCAACGCCATCAACATCCGCGTAACGATGAACATCGCTATATGCAAGAAAACGATCCAACTTCTCTTCCGCTAGTGCTACACGTTCAGCAGCATTTTTAAGATCTACAAAATCCAGCATCTCTCAAAGATAGAAAATGAACTAGTGGAACTCGACTCTGCTGTCTTAAAATTCGGGGTAAGACTAGGAACATAATATCCCAAAGTATCTAGGTCACGTACTGAGTAGAATAAATCATTATCCACTTAGCTACTGGAACCTAACTCATATTTAATTAAGATGTAGACAAATTTAACACAAAAGAATATGAAATAGCTATACTCGCTGAGCGGTCGCATCCCACCAACAACATATATTGTATCATTTTCAACAACAATGAAACAACTGATAACAAATCAAACCTTCATCGGATGGCCGGCAGTTATCATTGAATACATTTTGAATCAAAAAACGGCGCATTTGTTGCCGATTTTTGCTTAGAGAAGAAAAATTTCCATTCAGTATTTGGACAACTTCAGGAATTTGCAATATTTCGTACGCCAGTACCATAACCAAATTTACAAAGCCTGTAAAATTTAAATTTAACCAGTAAAGAGGAGCCAGAAGCGTCAATTTGTGGACATATGCAAAGAATGACGATAAAACACTACAAAAAAGATTGAACCTGTATCAAGGCGTGTAACTGGTTGCCCGATCTCACGCATCACTTGCGCAAGTGTTGTTGAACGCCCAGATTGCATCAAATCCGACAAAGTTCTTATCATTTCAATGATATTCAAATCATTTTCTGCTGCAGTATCTGCAAATAAAGGCGACTAGTGCATAAGATGAGAGATGGATAAAAATGTTACCAAGGATTGCCCAAACCCTAATGCTGAAGAAATTGGTTTCTTTCAGGACATCTACGTTAACCATTTCAATGCAATGCATCAGCGAGAATGGATAAGAAGAGCTTCATCGATTCAATAAAGCCTATTAGCATCATGGACAAGTTTCCGAAGAACTACGAAGTCTAAGGTACGTTTTAGATGTGCGACCACCAGAGGGCGCAATTCACTTAATAAGCAGACAATACTGGTGATTCTGGCAATGAGATTATTTTTAAATTACAATTCATAAAACTATTAAAACGGGCACCACATTACTCAACATATTACTTCTTTTATTCAATATTTTTAAGAATCACCATCACCAGCGACACTGGATGCTTGAGTTTCCGAAGAAGCACTTTCTTGGGTGGTATCAGTGCGGTCAACGTTTAGATCCTCTTCCATGTTCTCATCTCTCATTTGCACTTCCTGCGAAGGGTCAAAAGCTTCCTGCAAGATTCGCTATAATTTCTCAAATACTGTGTTATTCAAAAATCGATTCTCTATTAAGGTGAGCAGAACAATTTGAGACGCTAAACTTAACTACACATTTCAATAAGGTTCAATATTTTCAGTACACTGAGAAGTTTTTCCCTTTTTTAACCAACAACGAGTGAAGTTGTAGTGAAGTGGTTTCATCAAGAAAAAAAAATGAAGGTTGTACAGGTCTTAAATAAAAGGTCAATATCTATTGTTTGTTTGCTTAAATCGTTTCGCTCAAACTACAATGGAGAAAACCCTACTTTATACTGACAAAGCATAAAACGCTTACGATGTCCACAGCATCTAATTCAATTGAGCCTATTGGTGGAGCCGGCATTTCGAATCCGTGTAATGGTGTACTAATTACCGGTACCATGCCGTAATCTATAAAATGTAAAAATCAGCAAGCTTTCATTATAGAATGTAGGATTTATTGCAAAGTAGTCAAGTTAGCATCATTTTGTAACCTGAGATTATCAACATAAAAAAGTATAGTTATGCAATTAAAAATAATTTTCGATAACATACTGGAAATATCATATTCGCCCTGCGAAGCACTTAAACGAGAAGCAATATCAGCATCCGCATCAGCTAGATTTGCAATCGCTCGTCTCAACATCGCTGTCAGAACGTTTTTAAAATGTTCTGGGCGCTCAAAGAGTGCTTCTCCTCGTTGATTCACGGCAACATGGGCATCCGAATCGTGTAAGCCTCTGACTCGATCCTATAACAAAAGATGCCGGATGAAAATCAATACTGAATTTGTAAATGGCAGCCTTTGCACATGCAGAAAAAAAGACTGACGTATGACGGAAGTTTCTCCAGTTTTCAAACACTTTCGGAAAACTGCAGTTGAACTACAGCTACTTTCTTAAGTATCTTTGGTAATTCCTAAATAAAGGTCGTGTCATGTGACTAACCTGAGCATTGCTCTACCTATCACTTCGGGTCAAGAAAAAAAAAAAAACTTACCTCCTTGACAAATCCCATAGAGTACTAAATATGATACCTCAAATTATGACACTGTCCATCAAGTGAAAGCACTAACGGTCCAGTAGTTTCGGAATCCTAAATATCCCAAAACCTACAGTAGTACAGTACATTGTAAAAACTAACCCAACGATGTATTAAAGCTTCTACATCAGCAACTTCCGATGACTGAGGATCGAGACTTTCTTTATATCTTAATGTTGCCTGAAATATGAAAAATAATTTATTCATTTTTTATTAAGACCGTAATGTTTCATTTCATGCCTACAAAGATCCAGAGATTCTCTATTTCCCTAATGATGAACCATTTTGGAGACAATGATAATATCATGTCAGCGAAACTTAATCAGTGACAATTACCATTTTTGAAAAAACCTAAATAGTTAATCAAAACTGATTTTTGAATGGACGAGGTAAAAGCATCGACTGGTCTAACAGTTTATCAGAATGTAGAATCGCTTAATCGGTCATGAATATTACCTGATACAGATCACCTATAAGTGTTTCATAAGCTGCCGAATTGTGAATATTTGCCCGAGGATTACATAAATTGCTTTGACAGTTCAAATGTGGGTCATTCGTATAAATTGTTGAGTCACTTGGGTAATGAGGCCCAATAAACATATCATTTGGATACTAAAAAAAAAAGACACTCATCGAGTAATTTTTAAGTTTTCCTTACTCATTTAAGTTTAACTCATCCAAGTTTCACTTCTTATCATTTTTTTTCCGTAACCATTTGATTATTTCTCATTAGATTACATTTTAAAACCAACAAATTCATCTCAAGCTAATTATGAGCGAAATACAAGCTTTTTTTCAAATAACCGTGGTCAGCAAAATTCAGCACGGAATTATAAGAGCTCTACACATCGGATTACAGCCTAGAAAGGATCACCAGATGGGTAGTCTAACGGTCCTGCCGTTTATCACGCAGAATTTGATTCAAATTTAAAAATTTGTTTTGTAAAAGAGAAAAGGTTATAAAATAAACATACATCTACAGCTCCTTCTCTGTCTCCTCGATTGGTGTAAGTTCGTCGTGCCCACATAATATTACTTCTTAAAATAAAAGCATATCAAAGTTTACTTCGGACAAATATACAAATCCACATTATTTGCAAAATGGATAAGAATATTAGATAGGTACAAACTCCGAGTAAAATCTATTGCCTTCATGAAATTTAAACCAACGAAGTTAGCAGCTGTCAGACCATACAACTGCACACAATACATAACGAAAACGAGACCAAAATTTTCGGGATACCTCCAAAAAATTCTTTCGAAACCAAAATAAATATCCTACACTTTTGAAAGCTACCTGCTTCTTCCCATAGACGGTATAATTCGCGGCATCCCGTTGACCTGTACATGTACACCATTTTCACCCACCGCAGCCGTCGCAGCTTGCATTGCAGCATCAAGGGCACGACGAGCTGCCTAAACCATAACGCAATAAAATAAAACATGCTTAACAAGATGATAGATACCACCAGTTTCAATTTTTTCAAGTAAAGTAACGCTGTTAAGAAATGTCATAGTTACCTCAGCATTTGCAGGTCCATTTGTACGCACGATCACCTGACCAACAATTCCTGGACCATGAAATGTAGGAGCTGAAGGAGCTAAGAATGGACGTGCCGGTGCCTGCATTTGATTCGGCTGTCCAGAGTGCTGACGACTATGAAAACTGATCACAGGATGTCGTCGATGACCAGCATTTGCACCAGGTTGTGTACTGGATGCTGCTGTAACAACACATTTCAGCATTTTGCAAATATTCTAATTTATAATGAAAATGCACTTTTTGTAAAAGTTTCTTTGCAAACTGTGCTGCTTGTAGCGATTACAAAAAGCAAATTAAAAAAAAAAACGATTACAAAAAAGCACTTGAATACTCAGTAACATCATAGAAAAACATCACTAATTAGCTCTAACCGACACCATTAATTCAAATTACACTGCTGATTTTTTAAAAACAATAAATCCGTGGTTAAAAATTGGAAAGGAAAAAAGCACTTCCTTTTCAAAGTTTGAAATGATTTCAGATAACAGGACGCAATTAAACGAAGAAAGAAAAAATATGACAACTAATAATGATGTATGTTGTTTACCGGTTTGAGCAGATTGCACGGACGCAATATTCCCGAAAGCACCCGGCAGTATACTCCGAATAAAACTCTGGATACCGCCACGAACAGCATTATTCATTGCTCCACCTACATTTGAGGAAAAAACGAAATTAGTGTTAAGAAAAAATAAAAACTGATGAAAAACAGTGATCAAATGTACAAGTGCGCATGCAATCTTGAAATATACTGAATAGAAAAAGAAAAACATCTTCAACACAGAAATATACGGAAAAACTATATTCCTACGCAGTCAGTAGGAAGTTAAGGAGTAAAAACAAAAGAAAGACAGAGAAAATAAGTAGTCCGACTTTTTCTAAGGCTGTAAAACTTACCAAACTGTGCTTGATTTCCCGCAGAATCAGCGGAAGCAGATTGGCCACTAGGATTCTCTCCATCTGTTTGAGTAGCATTTAAACTGAATGTTGCAGGCGTTTCCATACGCACCCCAGGGTGTGCACCACCAGGTGCCACATGTAGTCGAGCGCTTTGCACATGAAGTGAACCTGAGATGGCAACTCATTATTTTCTGTCCACTACATAGCAAAGGACAAAAAAAATATCAGCTCACCTGAGGAAGATACAAATGGCATACGACTTCCTGCAGCACTAATATCTGGAACTGTGATAACTGTTGGCGCTCGAACTGTTGGATTTAAAATGGGGTATGTTCGTAATGGACCACCTCTCATGGATTGAGATAAACGGAAAGCTCGTGAATGACCTGTATTTTGAACTATGTAACATAAAAAGTAAAATGTTACTTATGTCAGTTTACCAGTTAATAGCAAATCCAATATTTGAGCTTCACCTTTTATTCAAATTAAATAGGATTTCATTTCATCACCGCAGCTCCTTTCTCCTTTAACCAAGTACTTACAGCGCTTACAAAAATTAAAGCAAGTTGAGAGTTTATTACCCATGTGATGAATATGACCGATGTTACCATCAGCAGGCTGTTGACCTCCTTCAGAGGCTGAACTATCTCGAGAATCCCGTTCATTTTGTGCCGCAAATACTAGAGTAAGAATAACCTGCAAATTAATACTTTTGTTTATACAAATAACAAATGGCTTGAAAAAAGAATAATTCTTGCATTTTTTGGTTACATTCCACTGACATCAAGAGTTGCTTAAATGCCTGAGTAATCATAATGCATTTTTTTACCTCAGTAGTTGGCTCTTCACGATGTTCCGGAGAGCTTGGTTCTAGAGGTGAGTCGGGATCCGAGAAATCGACGAAAATATCGGAGATTGAATGGTATGCATGCGAAAGACGGTGCAGGACACGCCGGAAATTTTCTTCAAAACATAATGCGATACATCTGGCGCGCTAAAAAATATACGTAAAACAGAACACTGCTTACATGTTTTCGAACATAAAAGTACTTAGAAATTCTCATGAAAATGGATGGGAAGAATTCTTTTTTCAGGACTGGTTGCAATTACATGTGCTAAGAAAAAGGGATAAGAAAAAGTTCCACACACTGAAGCGCGCAGTAAGTTTAAATTATAGTCCAGGATCAAAAAGTGAGTGTAAAACATACATTATTTGGCATACTGCCCCGCTTATGAATCATATCCTGATAACGCTTTAGATGGCAGTTTGCCAGATTTTGTACGCTCAATATTTTTCGAAGTAATTCCGTATAATTCTCTGCTGTAGCGTTTCTACAAATTCTTTAATGAAAATTACATAAAAACATCCAACAGGTATTCTAAGATAAAAAAAGAGAAAAACAGCTAAGACCAAAGCAACTAATAGCAACCACAGAAGTAGCGCAGTACCACGCATGTTGCGCACGTTCGTATGATTTAAAATAAGATATGGATATTACAAAGAGGCTAGTATAGTTTCTTTTTTCTGGTAATCTAAATCAAAAGCAAATGTTAGTCAAAAGTTCTGATACACTTGGACCTCAAGTTAATCAAAACAAACCTTAAAACCAAAACGTGGTGTTGTGGATTATTGTCCGAATCCGAACTTGTTGTCTGAGATTCATCTAAAAAACCTGCAGTCAAGAGAACAGTGAACAGTGAAAAAAGACAACCAAGTAGAATAATGAAATATATAAATCGCATAATCATAATCCACGATCATGCGAAATGCCTGTTCATTCAGTGCCGCGCGAAAACCGATAGGAAAGCATATGGAAACTGAGTGAAGTCAAGCAGGGATTCTTTAGAACAAGTGTAAAATGGTAAGTGCCAAATATACCATTCAAAACAGCAATTAGCTGAATTATCAGTAACTGATTCATTTTCTTTTGAAATTTTTACTGTTTTTAACAAGTTCCTTCATAACAGCGAAAAAAATTACCTCCGTCATTTTTCCGTCCTGTACCATCAGCGTTACTTGACAAATCTGCAAAATATTCAAGTATGGATAAGAAATAACTATTTTTAGCAACAGTTTCAGACAAAATCTAAAACTTCAAACTGCTTAAAGGAGTTAATTACGCAGCAAATTATCGGATAGCTGATAGTAAAACAGTCAAGCCGAACAATTCTGTGCCTATCAATTCTAACAATACAACGGCAATAATTCATTGCGAAGCTGGCTTATTCATCATCCATCAGGTAATAATATATTTATATCCATTTTTCCCCCAATCACAAGAAATTCGGCCTAATTTTCAAACAATAATTACCTGCACGATGAATATGGAGCACTTCCTCTAATTCCAAAACTGTTTCACCAAATTTAGTGCGCTCGAAATCACTTCTTAAAGGAGGCATAACTCGCTCATAACCATCAACCATCATTGATGAAAATGGCTCCTTCTAGAATGTTTGTTTTTTTTGTTTAAAAATTCTGTTAAAACACACTTATTTTCCTACATTTGAGAAATATAGCGAAGGTTTAAGGATTTCGATAAAATCACTAGGAAGACCTCCATTATCGATTCAGAATGTGTTTCTATCCGTGGTAGCACTCAAATATGGATCGTATATGACTAACTCCGACAAAATCTCACAAAAGTGTATAAAGAATCCTATTACATCTATCGCCTGAATAGACCAGCTGTGTAACAATTTTTTTGTAGTATAAATTATTACCTCAAGAAGTTGTAAAGTACGCTCGCTCCGGTTTAATCCATCGGAGATAAAATTAATTCGACTGAGTGCTCCTGTATTAACATAACGTAAAGTAGCACCTCGAATATGTACTCGCACTGTCAAGTCACCAGTTCGCGGCGTGTTTTCCTGCGTTTCCACATCAACCGAAGTGCGATCAGAGACAGCTCCTAACACATTTGAAAGTGCCTCCCTTACTAACTCCTACAAGTACATAACAGTTGAATATAATCACACGCACACAACAATTGAATATAATCATATTAATTATGCAACTAGGTATAACCATAGTGATCATAAAATCGGGTACAGTCATACTGATGAAGGTCGACCATATGACTCGCCCAGGTCAAAATTATTTCTATTTTGGAAATTATCAAAATCCCCCAAAAACTCACCGTAGTGTTACCCGCATCCTGAAATACGGCATTGCGTATGATGATCATTTCACCATTTATCACGTTAACTCGCGTGTTTTCAATATGATCATCACTGCCATCATGTCCGAGATCAGAGTGTTGGGAATTCAATCCAGGTGGAGGACCACTGCAAAAAGAAGTGCTTCGGTAACTTCACCTACCAAATATACGCAGCAACAGGAAGTATAATACATTTGCAATGTCACTCTTTCATGCTTAACAAAGATAATGCCTAAATTAGGGTAGGAGGGAAATAAGAGAAAAGTTACGCATCGGCTGGACGCTCCACCATGTGAAGAGTTAAGCCGTCTGCAATACCATAGTCCTTCAGAAGCCGGTCATTATTCAAAAGTGGATGTCCTTGAAAAATCAATCGTTGCCTCGATTCCAAAACACCCATCTTCTCTTCTATTACTTTCCGCAAAACACCAAGACTTGCCTTAAATCCAATAAAGATTTTCACGACCAAAATAAAATTCCAAAAATGAAAATCCAGACATATACTGCAGGAATGAATAGTAACTTACATCGTCAGCAATGTCCAGTTCTTCATCTTTTCGATCCAACGTCTTCACTCTGATTCTCATGACTGAAATTTAAGTTTGCTTCATGATGGAGAAAGAAAAGACAAATGAAGTGAAAAATATACGTGTGGGATGTACGTACTATCTACGTGCCTTTATTCATGCAGTTTACATTATTAGCAATAAAAAAAAAAAACGGTATCGCATGAATGGTACGTTTTTTGAACAAAATCACGCAACTCTAGTACAGATAACTCCTGGACTACCCCGTTTTTTTCTTCGTAAAAAAGTGCAAAACGATTTTATGCTTAAACGGGAATTCATGCAAAAAATTTGAACTTTAAATTCATCAGAAATTTAAGAAAAATTTCGCGCAACTGTTAATCATCATCAAAATTATGGGCAGATAAAGAGTATGGCAACTATCATACAACTTAGGTGAAGTATGCCAAACAACCAGTCCAGAAGAGATATGCTAGAGAACGATCAACCTGGATGAAGTGGTTAATACCCTCGAATCTTCCATACACCGCACCCCCATCTGAAATATCACAGTAATGAGCAAGCTAAACCAACCGCTCAAAAGCTGAATTGAAAAATGTTCTGAGAAATTTTTAGGAAAAATCAATTTAAAAAGGATTTACTCCAAACTACAACTGATGATTATAAATTTGCATATTTTTAATCAATAATATATATTTAAATTTGCATAATTTAAATGCTATCATCTTCGCTCCTATCCACCATCTCCGTTTTCATATCTCATGGTC